CTCTCTCTCTCTCTCTCTCTCTCTCTCTCTCTCTCTCTCTCTCTCTCTCGCTCTCTCGCTCTCACCCTCTTCTTCCCGCCGAAGGAGAATGAAAGTGTACTAGAAGAACGTGACATCCAGTGCATTGCTCGTGATTTCGTTTTCTTTTACGTGTATTACGTGTACTTGTACACGCGTGTATGTGCGTGATTTCTGCTACGAGTTTGCAACTGAACGAGTGCATGCGCGCGCGCGCGCGCGAGGTTCGGCGATGTCAGAAGTTCATCGTATGAAAGGAATTGTCGGTTTTGTTCGATAAGAATGGGTCTACCAGTGAACAAACGGCGATCGATAGTTTAAAACGTTAGGATTATTTTCCGTCGCTGCAAATGTACGTGGATATTCGTGAATATACGTGATACATGCTACGTACATAGTTCATATACAAATTCATGGACGCATAAGTACTGCGTGTGCGTAGGTGGGTATTGGATGTAATGTGGGTGTGGGTGTACGTTCTTCGTACGTATGGACGTACGCGTATTTTGTGGTAACGTGTAATGGCATGGAAATGAGGCGCGCGCGAGTGTCACGCCGGAAGATACGCCTCTCGCCTGGAAAGCTACTTTGTGCTCCAAACTCGAAAGGAGAATCCTCTCGCGAGTGGCCGCTCTTACCGGTTTAACCTCATCGACATCGAGTGCGTGTTCCTTGTGGCTTTAATTCTATTTTCCCGGGTTTCGGTTCCGCCTGTAATTTTCCACCCAGTTTTAATCAACATGCGTTAACATCGAGTTCCAACACAACTGTAAAGGGCCTCGTTCGTGATACACACGACCTTCCCCAGAATCTTTGGCTACCCGAAAGAAAAATGCACAACGAGTGGCTAAGAAATTTGTTCGCGACAGTAATTTTCGCCCTTATGGTACATGGTAAGTCGAATACTCTTTCACTGTATATCTCCCTTTCTATGTATACATCTGCATATCTTTAAACTTGTTAGCTTTTCGCTGAAAATATATATCACGTAAATATGAGAATGTATTTACGTGCATATACGTATATCTAAATGTTTTTTATCTCTTCTTATGATTGTCACAACGAAATAAACAAGTAATCGTGTTACTTTTGCTTCTTTCTCTTCTCCCCCACCTTACGTTGTCGGTTCTCATTTTCTCTGCAATAGACTATAAAATAAATTGGAAATTTTTCATTTAATTCGATACAGCG